TTGGACTGGAAATCAGATGTGATCGGAAATTACCAAATTGATCAGTGGTTTATCCCTACTGATCTGATATATGCTTTCTTCAATTTACCTGTATTCAAAATTTGACCTACCCATGCAACAACCGATTGATGATAAATTTTAATATTTTTGTGCAGGACGTCATTTCCGAACATTGATATCCTGCTGTATTATTGGTAGATGCATATGCATTTGTGTGAACCATGTGATCTCCTAAACCTATTACTGTAGAATACTGTATTTTCACTTGAAATTAATTTTCGCTGAAGAAATGATTCAGTGAAAATAAAATCCAGTGAATATACCTTTTTTCCTATAATTTACATTCAACTTGTCAATTATTAGTGAAAATAAATTCTATACAAAACACCAAAAATGTCTTTTCGGCGATAATTTTTTTTTTTACAGTACTGTAAATTTGGAAGGCAGGACAGACTGTACATTGATTTATATTGCTGAGAGATTAGTCAGCTCTGGGAATCCTACCCAGAACCTCCCTGATGTGAGGCAAACACACTAACTACTGTACCATATTACCCCAAGTGACTACAATTTTAACAAACAATCCAATATGAAATCACCTACCTTGCACAGTGATTGTGAATTGACATTGCCCAATATTTCCTTGTTCGTCAGTGGCTGTGTAGAGTTGAGAATAAAGACCAATATCCCAATACGCCGGCAATGACTGTGTGTATGGTCCCGTGGTTGATACAACCCCCTCATTATCATGCGCAATGGGGTGTGTGAAATTAACAAGACCAATGGTTAAACATTTATCAGTTACAACAAGCATATTGGGTGGACACGTGAAAGTTGGAGCCTCAATGTCTGTGAATAAAAAATAAAAATTTACACTCACAAGGAGATTTTGAAGTGAACTTTTTGGTAGAAGTTGATGAAATTGGCAACGATTGAAAAGATTTGAAGAAAATACTTTTACAATAAAAACCACCAAGATTTTGTCATTGAGATTGCTCTGTATGTTACAAGGTCAGAACAACTGGTTAACTACAAGGTTTCTAAATATTGTTGAGTACCTGGAATCTAGTTGTATTTATTTCTATTTAAAAAAAAATTATTATAAGAATTTGGGGTTAACAGGGAGTGGGAGAATCAGGAAACAGAATTTGGAGTTGACTGATGAGAGTGGAACTTCCAAGGAGCAGAATTTGAGGGGAATCAGAGAAGCAAAACATGAAAGGAATCAGGGAAGCAGAATTCGGAGTTAATTGAGAGCGGAAGATCCGGGAAGCAGAATTTGGGGTTGAGTAGGAGCAGAAGATCCGGGAAGCAGAATTTAAAGGAAATCAGGGAAGGTGAATTTGGGGTAAACTGGGAGTGAAAAAACCAGGAAGCAGAATTTCGGATTAACTCAAAATGTGTACCTTGACATGTTGTACTCTCTTCACTATGACTCCAAGTGCCGTCATGGAGACAAAGCCGAGTAGTTGGACCAATCACTTGGTAGCCATCTCGACATGTATAAACACATTCATCGCTATAGTTACTCTGTAAATGACAGCTAGATGGTGATAATATTCCTTGTGGTGGGACAGCCAATGCATTGCAGGTTTTAACTGAAATTAAAATCAGAATCTATCTCATTTATATTTTAATTGGATAAACTGAACCACATCCCTGCTATCACAGATCTGTGATTGGCTGACAAAAAACTATTATATATCTTATCGACCACAAGCATTTTTAACAACCAAATGGCCACCAGATGGCCATATTAAAATTCTAATGTCTTGTCTAACATGAAACTCTCTCAGAAAAAGTTGAAATGTAAAGATGATAGCAATAATAGTACAGCACCCTCTCAGAAGAAATTACTAAAAAGTCACATGACAAAACCACATACTTTGGCAAACTACACTTGTTCCATCCCAGGTACCGTCAGCTTGACATCTTTGTTCCGTTGATCCTTGTGTCACCTGGTAACCTAGATTACACTGATATTGGCATATAGTATTGTAAGGCAGCCATGGTTGAGAGTTGTCGCATCCTATTATATCACTTGGGATGGTGTCACAAGCTGAGCACATTGAGTGACTACAACAAGAATAAATACATCAAGTTAATACTGGAAAAGACGCACAACAAATTTTAAAAATAAAGTAAATATATAATTAACAGATGTGTATACAGTGAATTTCAGTAAGACATGAATGGTTTTTATATGAAATATTTATAAAAGGACAGTCGAAAATTTGCCAATATATTGAAGGAAACCTGCAATGACTTTTATCAAATTGTTTCCATCGTGAAGTGTATTCTTTAGATTTGAATAAAGCACAACTTATTTATTTATAAGAATGGTTGTGATTGGCTACCAAAAACAAAAACTGACAGTCTGAGCCATTCAGATAACTGCTTACATCTGTACTGCACTTGTTGACCAACCAGATTTTATGTTTTATCCTTTGAATAGAATGATGATGACTTACGCTGACATAAACCATGTGGTGTCCAGTAACCATTCTCGTTGTCATCAGATTCACAAATTGTGTAAGCAGACCCAACTAAATTATATCCAGTATTACAACGGATAGTACACAAGGAACCATAGTGATTTGTACATGCGTCTTCTATGCTACCAAACAGTGGGTATGACAGAGTAACACATCGTATCACTGTCAAAAAAAAATACGTCATGAGAATATAAGGTTATATAGCATTTGAAATAATGTCAAAAAACTAAAATAGATGTATTTACTGTTGTGGCGTTAAAATCATTTCTCAAGGGCTTATTTGTTCAAGAAATTCCTTAGGATTCCCAACAAAACATCAAAAAGTAACAGCAAAGAAATGCAGTGATTACTGTCTGCATAGGTTCTTCATTATACCTATTTAAGCCAAGTATTGTCTCCTTCACAAAATAAAGCAGCATACCATTTTCCATATTTTTTTCCAAAATGTTGATCACATGTCGTCCTTGGGGAAATAATGTTCATTTGGATTAATGAAGAAAAAAACAAAAATATTGCACCAATAGTTTAATATAAGGCATCCAGATATACAGTATTACATTCAAAAGTTTCTGATTTGTTTTTCCAAAAGAATTGACAGAAAAAAAATAGGTTTAAAATCAATGAATTTGGCGGTGAAGTTAACAATGACAATTTCTACAGAATGTTTTATTTAACGTTTTCACCACCAGTTCTGTGAGGAGAGCCACAATTTATTCGGGAACGTCTACGGTCGATGCAGGAAAATCACTCAGTCACGAGAATTAGTTAACCATTCAATAGTTTTATTTCAAACACCAAGAGAAAAGTGACCAATTGTAACAATAACAAATTTGAGCGGTAAACCATGTGATTGGCTGAAGGCTATACATTGTAGCTAAATAT